ATATATATATATATATTTGTGTGCGTGTGTGTTTTATTTCAAGAGTATTCTACCGACAATTCAGTCCATGTTTTATATGTTAGGATTGGTCAAATTTATATTATTATGGTGTAATTTTAGCATTAACTTACCAAAATAGACTAAGTTCCAAATTTTATAAGCATATGAATAAATCTTGCTTATATGATGCAATTTCAAATTGTTTGAAGTGAAGTTGTGGTGGTCTACATAGACTAGACTAGTGTAAGAAGATAAATTGTGTAGATTAAACATGATTTTGATTAGATTTAATCTCAAAAATTTAAATGTTAAGATGCACTATGATTGAAACTGGATGACAGTAAGAGATGAATTTGAGAGTGAATTGATTGTTGTTCGTTTGAAGAGATTTGAAGGTGAGTGAGAATGAATTTGAAAGTAAAGTTGATGAAAATTAATGTAAAGTTTAACCGATATGACAAATAAAAAAATTGTTTAATTGATAAAAATTGAAGATTATCAAAATACCCTTAATAGTAAAAATAATATAAAATTGTAATTGTTAATATTATATATAATTATAAAAATTATTATGAGGAGAGAGAAAAATAAAAATTAATTTTTAACATGCAAAAAAAAAATATTATTATTATTTATTATTATTAATATTATTATTATAAAACCATAGGGGTAATATAATTAAAGTACAACACTTTCCTTCAAATCTCTCCTAATACGAGAGATATGAGTTGATGAACGTAGAGTTGTCAAAATGGAACGTAATCCGTGGACCAACCCGACCCACCACGGGTTTGAGCTGGGTTGAGTTTGAAAAAATTGTATTTCTTTTATGCGAGTCAGATTTCAATCCGGCTCATGTAAACTCGGCTCATGCGGGTTGAACCCGTGGTCACTTTTCAAATGTCTTCCGAGGAATACATGATAATGCAAATCCTTATTCACACCTAGTTTTTTATAATGTTTGGGTTTGGGGACCAATGTATACTACAAATTGGTCATCTGATATGTAAAAATTGTAAAATATCCCGAGCCATCAAATATCTATCCATTATGTTGATCGACATAATGATATAAATCATTTTTTGTTTTGGGAGTTTTATCATTACTTCAAATATGAAAATTATAGAATTTGTTAATTAGTGAATGAGATGACCAATCAATTTAACCATTGGTGCGACTTCCAATCTAAAAGTAAATTAATACAAACCAATGCATGAATTGTATTATAATTATGTTGATGGTAAGAAAAACCCATTATAAGTAGTATAAACATTTCTCTCTTATTTAATGAATGGGGGTATCAATATCAAGCACCTTTAGCTAAAATAATAACGAAATTAACATAGTGAATTGGTATAGAGGGTTCAAATATTTCATCAAAGTGTTGCTTCAACATGATTGAAGGGCATGCTTACCTACTAACACCATCAAAGAACAAGAGTAATGGGATGGTAGAAAGACATGCTTCGCAATCACAAGGGAACCAAACATTGTTGCACCAATTGAGCCTAAAATACTGATCCCTTTTTAAATTATTTGAATTTTTAACATGTAATTTTTTATTTTTACACTTTTTTATATCACTTTACAAATAAATTACATTAATAATTGAAAAAAATGCCGTGTTTATTATTTATACATTTACTATTGTTAGATTTTCGATACATTGAGTTTCAAAATCAGGCCTTGTGTCTTTAAGTTAAATTTGTACTTAATTGTGTTTAGCTATACTACTTAGACTGTAGTTAGAACTGTCAATTTATAACGTTCCCCTAAATTAAAATTCATTAAAAACTAACATTTACCTTAGTTGGGCCAGTAATAAAACACAATGAACTGGGCCATCCAGTATAGGTATGAACGGGTCCACGATTAAGCCCAATGCTTGTTATTTGCTAGGGTTTCTGTTTCGCTATAAATTCCTCAAGCGTAAATCCCCGGTGATAATACGCAGCTCGGTCTCTGTGCTATCTCCCAGGGTTTAACTTCTGAGTCTCCTTTCGATTTTTGTTCACCATGAGAGCCAAGGTAATTTCTTTTTAGTTCGATTTGTTATTTTCTCACTGTATTTTCATTGCATGATTTGTGTGCTGATAAAGCGCGTGGATTTGTACAGTGGAAGAAGAAGCGTATGAGGAGATTGAAGAGGAAGCGCCGAAAGATGAGGCAGAGATCGAAGTAGTGTGCGTGTTTCCCCAGCAACTATTGCCCTTAGTTTTGTTTCACTTCTGCTATGTGTTTCTTTCTCAATCTAATGTTATGATACATTTTATTGGTTTCTTTCGCTTCTGTCTTAGTTTAAAAAATATTCTTCCCGCAAATTAACCAGTTTTAATATTCGAAGCTATTGCATATCTATTCTTTGTTTGGTTCACATTTTAGGATTTTGGATGTTCCGATCACTATAACACGTCGTCATTTTTGCGAAGAATTAAATGCTTTTAATAATTCTTGGTCCCTTTTTATTTAAGTACGTAAGAATTAAAGTTGAAAAAATAAACTGTGTCGTCATAAGGTTGTGTATCTTCAAATATAGGAACGGTTCGAAGGAGTTAACTCGTTTAGGTTAATATTGGGGCTTCGACATTGGGTGTCTGATGAGAATATAAAATGTTATTTGAATTATCATGTAGAGTTCTGCAGCGCAGTTTTCATACATTGATTACGTTTGACGTTATTTTGGTTGGTTTGCTTACTGCGCATGATGTGGAGGTCCAATTTGTTTTGATTTGTGAAAGAGAATGAATTTAGAGAGAATAAAAGTATAACTGCATTTATCGGATAGTGGAGGAAGGTGATATATGTATGTGCTCCATTCGAAGGAGATTTTGCAGTCGTGTATATGTTATAGTGATGTCGTAGTTTCAGAGAAGGGGTCTCTGTTTAATTTGTTGGTGTCAGTTTCTGTGAATCTGTTATTCTTTGTTTGATCAGTAGGTGCCCATGGTATATTTTTACTTTTAGATGTGAGCATGGGAAATGTAATTTTTTCGGATTTTATTACTAGGGTGATGTGTTAAGTTGTCATTTGATTTGGTTGTATGATAAACTTTATTTCTTTCGTCTGTCGATGATCTAACATCTTAGACGATAGTTGCTTGTTGAACTGCGTGTTTTGAATTAAATCAAACTTAGGATAAATTTATGGAGATATTGCACTGGAGAGAATAGACCATCCGATCTCGGTCAACTAACTTAGAGCAACAACTTAAATCCTGAACAGGTTAGCAAATACGTAACATTGGAGTAACAACCTGAATCTTAAAAAACTTTATAATATTATATCATATCATTATTCCTGGACTCTCGTATTGACGAGTTTCGATAATGACTCTGCTCGTTTTAGCTAACGTAGTAGATGACAGTGTCTCTTCGTCCCCAGTAAGACCAATACGTCAATCTATTTTTTCTCTGTTTAGCAAGGTTTTGTTGTAAGCCAAGTGAAAAACAAGGACACTAAAGTGAGAGGCCAAATTTAGTGATATTGAGGGACGATCGCGCTTTTCCATTAGGTAAATCTTAAATACTTTTGTATATTAAGTTATCGAAATACCTCAAGAAAGACATGTTTGAACGAAGAAATTTTAATTCTCTTAAAAAATTGAATTACGCATTTGAATGTTTTTATCCATTAGAATATAAGGTGTAATGTTGCAAGGCGAACTTAAGTGTGGTATGTGGTGAAATAAATGTATCCAGTTGTTTTATATATATGTTATATCTTTATGTGCGAATCAAGCTAACTAGTTGACGCAGGCCGAATGAACATGGCAAATAAGCTATAAAAGCCATCTCTCAGTTATGCAAGCTTTATATATATATATATATGATCAGATTTTGAATGAGTAAATGGATCCATCAAACAAGAGTTTTTACATTTCCCCACTATTTTCTTTTATTCCAAAAATACTTTACAATCTCTCCACTATTTTCTTTTATTCCAAAAATACTCTACGTCTCTCCACTATATTTAATAATCTTTTTCTTTCTCTCTCGACATTAATAGAGCATTTACATGGCTCAGATTTAAACTATATTGTAAAATTTTATTTACACTTTTCTTTAAATAAGTTTGATTCAATCTTATTTTCACTGTTAATATATTTTTTTTCTTCAAATTACTTAATAAATGGTAAAATTTTGTTCTAAATTTCTAGAAAAATGTTTATATATATATGTGTGTTTTTTTTACATTTAATATCTATAATTTTTAACATTATATTATGTTTTAACTTACTGATAGACTCAAATAACTTGAATAAAGTATTTAATTTATTAGATAAATAATATAAAGATATTATAAAATACTTAAAATATAAAAGAAAAGTTATTTGTTAAAGATTTAAAATTAATTTAGTTCTTTCGTCATTATAAAGTTATTATATAATAATAATGATATATTATTTACTATTAATATTATTATGTTTATTATTTTGTATTTGCATCTTTTAAGTTTATAAAATTGAAGTGGTAAAAACACTAATATTGATGTTTTTTCTGAATCTTATATTTGTAATATATCACAAGTTTAAATTTAAGCCAAGAAAATAGTGGTAAAATATAGAGTATTTATGGAATAAAAGAAAGGTTTAATGTCTCCGTAGGTCCCTATTTTGGTCATGAATGTCAAATAGGTCCTCTTTCTTTTCGGCGTTTCAATTGAGTCCTTGTTTTTGTAAAATTGAATCAATTACAAGTCTGCCGTTAAATTGGACAAACCGCCGTTACATCAGGCTCAACATCAAACCTATCATTACCTTCTCCTTTGCCGCTCAACTTATCAAATACCTCCAGTGCCTCATCAATCCTCCTAGCTTTGCACAAATGATTAACAAGAATCCCAAAGGTCACAACACTGGGCTTTATCCCCATCTCTTCCATTTCTGCCATCAGTTTATTCATCTGCTGAATGTCCCTCTCCCTTCCCAACCCAGTTAACAGAGCATTGCAAGACGCAGCTTTAACCGCAACTGCACCACCCAATCTCATCACAACATGCAAAAGATCCCACGCCACACCATTCTTCCGGTGCCGGCACATCTTCGTTATTATTTGGGTAAGCTTAAACGCATCAGGGAAAACTCCATGCTCACACAGCTTGGTAACCAACCCCACAATTTCATTATCAGCAAAGCTTCTTCCATGGCGCTCCTGCTTCCCCAACACCCTAAAAACAACTTCCCTCGTGAAATCTTCGGGAGGAAAATCAGAATCCCGTTCAAGCATTTCGTCAATCACCTGGAGGGCATCATCAATGCAACCCGATTTAAACAACCCCTTAAGCAATTCGTTGCAAATTCCGGAACTTTTGGAACAGGGGTCGAGCTCCTTGAATAGAAGAAGCGAATCGTCCACCATTTGGGCCTCCCCTAGGCACTTCAAAAGGAGGAAAGCAGATCTGGAAGTGAGAGCAATGTTATCACCATTGGATTTTCGGTAACTATGAAGCATGAGAAGCTCTTTCTGCGAATTAGGGTGCTGCGTAGCGAGTTCAAGAGCGCCTTCGAACACACAAGAGAGGGCTTGGTGGTGCTCTGTTCTGCTTCTGAGGTAATTGATAAAATCGAGGGCTTTGGGAATGGAGTTTAAGCGGAGAGTGACAAGGAGGAGATGGTCTGAAGCTTCGAAGATACGTAACCAATACTGTAACGGCCGTTTGTCCAATTTAACGGCAGGCCTGTAATTGATTCAATTTTACAAAAACAAGGATTCAATTGAAACGCCGAAAAGAAAGAGGACCTATTTGACATTCATGACCAAAATAGGGACCTACGGAGACATTAAACCTAAAAGAAAATAGTGGAGAGATGCAAAAACACTTAAGGTGGTGGAGAGAGCAACACCCAAGAATTTTTTGACTCAGTTGAACCCAGTAGAGGAAAAAAAAACAAGGCCTTTTTTTTTTATTCGGGCAATAGTTAAGGAGTTAAGAAGAAAAGAAGAAAATATTTATTAGTTAAGATAATCTAAAAAGGCATTAAAACGAATAAAAAAACATTTTTATGCATCTCAAGATATATATTTTTTTACAGATATTCAAAGAACGTTATTTTTTTTTGCATTTCTCGTAAAATAATATCTACGTTACATCGTGGATGCCATTATAAATTGGTCCAACATCCGTGCATTCCTCATTTGGTGGTAAAAGCATTTTCCTCTTTTTCTCCCACTCAGTTGTGTTTGTCTTTAAAATTTTCTCACTTTGCGGCTGTTTAACGTGGGCTGTATTTACTGTTAAGTTTCCCATTTTTTACTGCATTAAACATCATTGCTACTTCCAACTGATTGGCTTTCTTACCAAGCACGGCTCCACAAATCTGGTTTTTTCTTACACTCTTAAGTTACTCTCATATAAAATGTCAAATCATTTGACAAAAAAGAAGGAAAATTTGTGCGAAAAGATTCCTTTTCACTCTATAATAAATCACGTGAGAAAATAAATATTAGGATAGTGGAAGAAACACTTATTGATCAGCGGCTGCTATGTTAGAAAAGAAAGGTAGTTCGCTATACCAAGCAAACTCAGGTCGACAACATTCCATGAACCATGAACCATCCACATTACATCATGGCACGATCTGAAAATTACTATTTCAACAATGTACGCAACACAAATGTTCTTAGATCAGCTTATAAGAAATACAGTTAAAATGCAATATGGCAAAAGCATAGCTTTTCAGCTTCCGGTTTGCTTGTTAACTAGATTTTTCAAACATGCAAAACAAAATTATGAATTAGAGAGATAAATGAGAAAAAAGGCACATTAACCATTTTAAAGAAATATCATATTGTTTTTACACAACATGAAAGTTTTTCAGTATGGGCCTCATTAATTAACAAAAGGAAATATCTGGTGTTGTGATAGAGGAGATGAAAACTACTTGAGTGGACGTGCCAATATTTTCTGAATGCATTGATCACATCTAATTCTTGAAGTCAAACATGAAGTGATTTAACACTAACATTTGTCTGCTAAGAATTAACGAGCAACTCAATGATCGCTTGCTTTTCCTCTGTTCTCTTACTTTCTTTTTCTCTTGCTACGTTATTCACCCTTTTACTAATCCACTCATTCTATTAATTGAATGATAGGTAATTCAATTTGCATCTTTTCTATTCCTGATGCAGGAGGAGGCCACACGCCGATTTCTGCACTTAACCTTTTACACATTATTCCCTCTGATTTAGTTTCTCACTCTTTAACTTTAGTTTAATCGGTGGCACAGAACTAATATTTCATGATTTCATCTTCCTAATGGAAAAGCTATATATCTTATCCGTATATAAATATTGAAAAATAAAGCAAATAATTGCCCCACTGAAATGACCCTTAGGGGCAAATGAAAATGATTTTACAATATATAATTAAATTACTGTAGGCAACGAGAAGGCAAGAAGAATCTCTGCCTCTTACTTCTGGTGGGGCAATTAGATGTCATGGATGATGAAGCTATTTTGGTGACAGCAGATTTGAGGGACTGTTTGAGAGTGGTGAGGCAAACACCCTCTTCACTATCCTTAGAACAAAGCACCAATATGCTTTTGATCCGGCCACCTACACTGGCTATGTCAGCTTTAACTGCCGTCAGTCTCAAGCCCTTGAGGACTTGGATGAGTTCAGGGAACAGTTCTGGTCGATCATCGCAGCAAACAGAAGCTTTGATCACAATATTCTCCTTCAATTTGTTCACTTTAGTGCAGCTTTCATCTTCTACATGGTCACAGTCAATTGATACTTCATCAATTTCAGTTGGAACTGTGAAAGCTCTGCTAACATCCATGGCTTTTCTCTTTAGATCTTTGACATGGTCTATCACACTCCCTAGTAAAGCTGCCTTGTCCATCTGCAAGTACCCAAATCTTAATATTAGCATGTTTGGCAAAATATGTTTCCCTCTGTATAATTAAGCTTTGTTCAATATTCTTTTTTTGACCCGATGAAGTGGAAGTGGAATTGAAATCCTTTTATAACTTTGCTAAGCATACCATGCCACATATTTCATAATCCATTCATTATCCAGTGTGATGCCAGGAACAAAATCTTAGCTATTCTCTTATTGTTCGTAATTCATAGTACTACTAAAGTATGCCACTCATGAAAACTGAAAAAGAGAGACTTGTGCATTAAATTGGTTTACCTTATCGGATTTGGGAATAAGTTTTCTGAGAGTTGCAAGCTGTGCATTGATTCTGTCTCTGCGCCTTTTCTCAGCTTGGCTGTGGCTCTTGGAAGCACTCATTGCTCTCTCTTCTTCGGCCCCTTCAATGGGAAGTGGCCATGAGTGGAACTCACCAAATTGAAGAGAGGCAGAGTCAGTGGCATGAGGAAGTATTTGTGTAGGAACTGCAAAGGAAGAAGAATGATCACTGCATTGAGCCCAGCTGGTGCTCATGTGCCAGCCAGAATCATAGTAGTTTTCCATAGTCACAATGGAAACCATTCTAAAGTTTTTTCCATGATTTCTGAACCTTTTATCTCCCATCCATAGTTACTGTTTGCTGCACTAATAATGGTCGATCATCTTCTTATCTTGATGGCGACTGCTGTGATAAGCAATACCCATTCATTGGTCAAAATGATAATCGATTTTGGCTGTACCTGTCAGTCACTTCAACAAGAAAAATTTTCCCTTCGCTAAATCTAACGAACTTGGACTTTTGAAGGAGGGGAAAATGAAGAGTAAAAGAATAAGAAAGAGGTGACCTGACCTACTAAGCTAATATTATTCGTATTTGAATGAGAAATGAAATGGTATGCATGAGTAGTATCTGGCAAATAGATTTGGGGGAACACTGTTACGTAGTCAGTAGTTGATGTAGTGGATGATGATCAGAGACTCATTGTCTTATTTTTATTAGACCAGAAAGTGTTTTATCTGATCTACCGATAATTATAGCTGTTTGGTCTCCCTTGGTGTTTAGCGTAGATCCTATCGAATAAGAACTCGAGTTGGTTTACTTATCTTGAACTTTTGTGCCAAACATGACTACTTCAGATTAATTGCTTTTTCATATAAAATAGCAGTGCACGTATACTTAACAATAGAAGAAGAATCACTTGTATTATTTTCATAACATTTACCTAGATGTTATCTGAAATAAAGTCAGTCATTGTACCAAAGAAGTCACACATCAACCTTCATAAGCTGTTTAAATATATACTTTTTAGTGGTTAATCGTTTGATAAAGTAAAAAAAGTAGGCACTGAAGCTTACACGAAAGTGGTGTCTAGGCTTGTGGTGGTGGATCCCATTCATCAAAGATACTGCAAGATCTTCCACACTGAATTATAAATTTGGTGAAATTAAGCTTTCACGCTTTCTTTCACCCATGTCCCTGTACAATTATTCCAACCAAAGTTTTAGTCCCCGTCATGATAGCCAAGATGAAAAGGGATACCAAAAGAAAATAAGCACACACAAACTAGGATCATTGATAAAAAAAAGAAGAAAGCCCAAGATTTTGCTGAATCAGAAATTGGACAAACGCATGATGTAACCTGATTAGTACACGATTTGCCCTTTAAGTTGAAGACAATGGGTGGGTCCATTTTACCAAATTTATGCTATGCAAGTAACTTGACTAGTCCAGCTGTGTATCAAACCTAAGACAAGATTTGGTTAGCTTCATGTATCTTGATTTGAAGTTCAAAGATGAAAGCATGGGACTCAGTAAAAGAAGGATAGTTTTATACACTATGATAGGAAAGGGTTGCTTAGTATGTCTGCTAGCAAACAAAGAAGGCTCAATTACTTGCATGTAGGGTCCAATACACACTCACAATTGCAACTCATAATAAAGAGTGACACGACTTCTGATCAACCACTCACTTTGTTATACAACACAACTTGTGTATGTGGTTTCTTATGGTTCCGTATTTTCTTCTTTCACTTTTTTTTCATATTTTTTTTCCTTCTCTATCTGTCTCATCAAAGCCTTTCTGGGTCCCATCATCTCAGAACATATCTGCAGTATATCTTACAATAATCACATTGACATACACACATACACCCCGTCGGCAAGTGAAGTGTCACGATAAAAATATGGAAAACCAAAAGGATCACAGTGAACACAGACAACACGTCTCTTGAAATTGTAATGTGTCAACAAATGAAACACATGTGTTTAACAAGTTTATCTTCCTTGTCTCTTCTCTTTGCTGGTGTTCTAATCTTCCCTGCTTCTTGTTGGTGTTGGTACTCGTGCTTATGCACTGAGGATGGCGAAAAAATCTTCAAATCACCGAAGCCTGTAATTAGTACACTGCAAGAATGAAGGAAGAACATTGAATTTGAATCAAATGCAGAAGAAAAAAAGATGGCAGAACCAATCTTTTTTGTAACCATAAATTGAGGGCACTTTGTTTTGAGCTTCGCAAGGTACACTGTATTATTTAGAGAGCTTTGCAGCAGATGAAAGTGTAAATAATTGCATGATAGAATTGAAATGAACCAAAGTAGTTAATCATCAGCAACATTTGATCGTACCGTACCCACCATTTTCACACATAATAAACAACCCATTTCGACAAACAATAGTTCTTCTTCCCTGCACTGACTGCACTGCAAATTTCACCAATTCAATTCAACTTTCAGTGTATCTTTATCTTATGCTACACAAGTCATAACGCATTCTATTGAGGTTTTCAACTAAGCATTATTATTATCAATATCATCTGATACCATTCACGTACATAAAATAATTAATTAATAAAATATGCCAATAGCTTAAATGAATTAGCATCTTAATATGTTAATCAGTAACTTCTAACTTAAAAATTACATAGACTCAAAAAAAATTGAGTAAAATCGAGTAAACCGAAGAATTAAGAAAAAAAATATTTTGATAATTTTTTTTCAATATTTTGACAATTTTTTTTACAATATTTTGACACAGTACATATATCATTTTCTCAATAATTCATAATTTATTTGTTATTGTGTTGATATTTTCTAAACTCAATAAAAAAATTACATGTATACTGAATCAAAATTTTATTTAAAAATTTGTGTTAATATATGATTATTCGAATAATTATGTGATTAAGAAAAACTTAATGACTATGGAAAAGTATTTTCTTTATAATTATAAAAATAAATTTTATTTTGAAAGGTGGTTATAGTCATAGTTTTTTGAGAAAGAAATCCAAATTCATCATGATGTTGGTAATTATTGTCGATTTTCTGTGTTTTTATTTGTGCATTTTTTTTTGGATCAGTCCTATATAGCATTTTTTATTTTATGAAAAAGAAAAACAATTTTCAAGATTATCCTTTAAAGGAAGACGATGAGGGCGAGAGATTAGAAGATAGGGTCCATTTAAACATGTAAGAATATTGTCCTTAAATAATTATTTGATGATTTTTAAATAAGTGAAATGTAGGAGTAATTAAAATGTAAGTTGACTAAATTGTGATGATGAGTTTTAGTGTGCATATGAATTTATTGATGAATTTTAATGTAGAAGCGTACGAGAGTGATGAGTTTTTGAGTAAACAGTGAATTATAGTGTGTAGATGAGCAAATAATGAATGTGATGAGTACCAAATAATAATGAGCATTGAAGTAAGTGACCAAATACTGTTACTTCTACTCTTTTTAATTTGTCTTTAATATACAAATAAAAAACTTGAAACACATTTTATTGATTTTTTTTATACAAAACTAATTTTTATAGATCTTAATAAAAATATAAAAATATAAATAAGCATGACAAACAATAGAAACATGGAACACTTTAGGGTAAATTTACGCAGTTAATCTGTTCAAATTATTTTATATAACTGTTATTAAAGGAAAACAAGTATTTAACATTCATAATTTTTTTTTTATAAATTGACTCTTCAATTTTATTTTTATTCCAATTCATCTTTGAAGCTCTATCTTATTTGAAGGTAGATAAATTAATTTTAATTTCATCTCATTTAATTTTAAAACTTATCACTTTTATAAACTGGTTTCTTATATTAAATTGGGTTGAATTCTCAATCAATAATTTACTTTAAATCCAATCAATCATTAGTTTTAGTTTTATAAATCACTTTTCCATCAACAAAAACATAATAAAATTTAGAACTAAGTTACGCAATATATAAAGCTTGTTTATTTATTTTGGTCTTCATTTTTTAGTTATTTTCTTTTTTGAATTCACTTCTTTACTATATCTTAATACGTGAAAAAATTACTTGTAACAGAAGAATTAAAAGATTATAGAATAATCTATATTTAAACTAAATAATTTAACTTGTTATAAAAGACTATGAAAAGAAGGGTAAATTTTCAGAATCAATTACAATGTATTAAAAAAGTTTGAGGTGTTTTACTTAAACCATGTAAAATTCAAGGTTGTTTTTGAATGGAATTGAAATTCATGATATTTAATAGCAAGTGAGATAAAATTTAAAGATCAGTTAAAATATAAGTAAAGTTTAAGGTCTGTTTATTAAAATTAGGAGAGTTAAATACTTTTTAAAATTATTTTTTTTATCAGACATAATAATTTATATAAATGGTAATATACACAATTTAATTCACTGCTACTGAGACTACATTTCCTATTTTTCATCCTTTAAAATTTGAATAAGAATTATCCTTCATACAAAAATGTTAATACTCTGTATTCTATTATGTATAAAATTAAATTAAGCAAAACAATTAAAAGAATAAATTTTCCATTTATAACAATTTCATTCGACTTAAACATTACTATTTCTATTGGATTTTGAACTGTCTTCCTGTAGGAAAAAAACTTGTAAATGTGAAAGTTTATTTTATCTCGACTATGTAAGAAAAACAAAGTCAAATTAGTTTAATTTTAAGATTTATTTTACTAACTATCAAGTCAACGTCTTTCAGTCCTATGCTAAAAATTTTAATATTTTTTCTTTCTTCAAGAAGTCAACCTTACTTTATAAAAGATCTCATTTTTTCTTTTCAATTTCGCTTAAACTTTCAAAACCTTCCACAAATTTATCTCAAACTTATTCCAGCTACTAACTATTTGAATATAAATGAAAAAATGCATCATTTTAAGTAAAGTGAAATAATGGAAGAATTAAATTATAGAAATTAACAAATGAAATGATTAAATTTGAAAATAAAATGATTGTAGAAGGAATTAAAATCATTCACTGAGTATAAATAAATCTAAACAGTAACATTTTATTCTAGATAAGATAATTACCTTTTATATAAGTGACACATACAAATAATCATAATAATGTGTTTGTCATGGCTATATGACAATAAACATTTTGTCGATAATGACTTTTTTGTGCAACAACACTTTATTGTATTGCATAAATTAATTACTGAAAGGTTTTTTTGATAAAACCAAAACAAAAGTAAAAGCAGGCCACTTTTTATCTTTCAGTACAACAATACTATACTATGAGAATTGAAAAGAAAGAACATAATTAATAAAAAAATACCAAGAAAATGATAAAATGGCAGGTATAATGTTGAGCTTTATATATTGTTTTCTACATCCACCCTGAATTAAATGTTTCCTAGCTTATAAAATAATAATGATGATAAAAACAATTAACTTGAGAAAAAGATCTGAGCACCTAAGAAATGAAAAACTGATGATTAAGAAACAGCATGAGTTGATGAAGTTTGAAGCAGCTGAAGCTTTTCTAAACTACATTTATGTTGAATTCTTAAAGAGAACATCTCAGTACTCATTGAAATGGATTGCACCAACTTTCCACACAATGAAAGTTGTTGCAAACATGATTGAGCTGATTAAAACAAAAGAGAATACAATGAGAAAGAGATCAGAACCCCCAGGAAACTGAAAAGTGAAGCCTGTTGACAAGCCTCGTTTGCTATCATCAAACAGATTAGTTGGAGCCTCTGGAAGTCCAGATTTTCTCTTCCCTTTGTCACTTTGCTTTGAAGCTTCTAACACTCTGCTGCTCATGTCTGCTTTAGATGCTTTCGATTGGGGGTTTCGGTTGCCGGCTCGAGCCGCCTTTAACCGCTCTCTTGCTGTAAGGGAAGCTCCTTTCGTTGCAGATTGTGACTTAGAAGATGCTGCTGCCGATGATGATCCTTGCTCTTGGTTAATCGAACCATTGGAAGAATCTAATGTTTTAGATACTGACTCAGCATCAACTTTAGCTTGCAGCTGGAAATTTTCATCTGGGGGATTCAGGGATGATAATTGATCACTGGTTGGTGAATTTTCAGCATTGTCAAATTCCTCAGTAATATTGTTGTCTGCTGCAAGCTGATCACTGTCTGCAACTGGAAGACAGTGGCCAAATCTTCTTTCTTTGACAAGCTTTCTCGATCTAGATACTACCGAGAAGGGTGTAAATCGAGTGGCCTTAGGTAAAGAAGCTCCAACAGAATATCTTGATGCATCATGATACTTGGTTTCCAACTTCTAATGGAGAATGAAAGACTTTTGTAAGAGATCAGAAAAACGATATTCCAAATTAGCATAATCAATGATAAACAAAATAATTGTTAATGAATTGCATGCAAGTCCAGCCTTGGTGCCCCTTGTTTCAGAGGGCTTTGTTGCCATATGATTGGTACATCAGCAAATTCCTAGTTGCATAGTACTGCTTTCTTTACATGTTATTGATCCATCTTTGTTTACAATAGAGTTCTTGTTAAGATATTCTTAAATCATACCAGAGAATCACACTACTCTAGTTGAAGGGCTTGAAATAAAATTGTATATGTTTCAGTACAGTACCGAAACAATGGCTATCACAAGAAGTTCATCTAACGAAAACTTTTTATTCTATAGAACAAATAACTATAAACATTAACATCATGATTATTATTTACCTCCATAAAAGTCCCCAGTCAAATAATTCCTACCTTCTAAATTTCTGTATGCATTCCCTACGATCTCTTACAGCCCAAAACATAAATTTCTGAATTTTCCTGAACCTCTACTTTTAGATTTGTGGATTTGAACAAAACTCAATTTTTTTTTTATTTTTTCCTTTTTTTCTTTTTTTTTGTTTTTTTTATTTTTTTTATTTTTTTATACTATATTGAAAATTAAAATTTCCCCACCTAACATTTTTTCTCCGTTTACCATTTTCCCCAGTAGAACAAAAGTTCAAGACATCACAGCGCTTTACATATTAATGCGATCCCATCAGTGCCAAACATGTTTTAACTCAAAAGTCTAAACGAATAAAATTTCAGTAATTCGAGTCCCCGAACTTGACGCATATGTTGAAAACGTTGTCACAAATAAAATTCAAAGATGCCCAGAAGGCCAGAAAGGGTGTACAAACACTCCACAGATAATTGAAAACGAAAAGCAAGAATCTGAAATGAGAAAACCATGAAAACAGGAAAACTACAAAGAAAAGTGAAGGGTGAAGTATGAGAACAGGAAGCAGTTACCGTTGAGCTGAAGCTGACTATGGAGTTTAAAGATATGGCCATCTTCTTAGAGTCTTTCAAATTCCAACCATGGATAGCCACAATTAGTGGTCTTCCTCTTACCACTAGATTGTTTATTCAGGACTGAAATTGCTGTTGACACACGCCACATAGCGCGTGACCACACGTAATTTTCTTTTCGAATAAAAGAAAATGGCATCTTTTTATACACGATTTGATCAAATTTCACTCCACATTTAAATTCTACACAAACAAGTATTTCCTAATTTATTACAAAAAAATTCTCCCGAGTTAACTGAATTTTCAAAAAGAAAAGTATAAGATATAAGTGAAAACTTGGTAATTATAGTTGAGTTGAATTAACCTAAAAATGTTTATACTTTAATTAATTTTTAAATTGGTGTTTATAATTTATCTTTTAGAAGTAATGTCTTTATATAATGGTCGTGGTATTTTTGTTTCTTTTAATAGTCATAATGTTTAATAAAAGTTATCATTAGTGATTAAACAAATATCTAAAAATTGAAAACTCTTAGTAGTGGCTTGAACAATTCATTAAGAACAAAAACAAAGTATTGAATAAAAGAAAAAATATTATTAAAATAAATTTTTAATGATTTCGCATTGTTATAGTAATTATTGAAACAACTATCATCTTTGCTTTTGAAAAACATAATTAAAATTTATTTATACGGTTGGATAGTGGATAGTCTATGTTCTTGTAGAAATACCAAGTAAAGTATTGTCTGAAATAATAATTTATAAATGGAAAGTAAAAGTAAGGTCATCCATTAACAGATTAAAAGGTTGAACTCGAATTTATCAAATTCAATTATTAGTTCAACCAATTTTGATAGCGTTTAATTTAAATATCAAATTTGTGTTTATAAATTCAATAAATTGGAAACCAATTTATATATATTTTTAATTTTCTACTATATATTTAACGTGAGCCAATTATAATTCAATGTTTACATCTTTCAGCGACATAATTTCTTTAACAAAGTTCCTTTTTTATTTCACGTTTACTTAGCATTGATATCAATTGATTCTAATCAATTGCTCTCAATCATATCAGTTTAGTTTAGGTTGTACAAAAAAAACCTAAAAAAATGCCTAAACTAAGAAAAATTAATTAATTTAGGTTTTGCTATTTTTAAATCTATCTAAAACAATCCTAAAACTTGTTTTTACCTAGTAACATTTGTTTGTTTACTAGGATGTAATTACACATGACACAAGATAAAAAAAGAAGTGAGAGTATAGACATATTGTGCTTAATTTACAAACTGAACTCAATTATATATATTTTTAAATTAGATTAAGTTAATAAATTTGATTGAGCTTCATTTAGTATATCTAATTAAAATTGAGTTAGTTCATAAATTTCAAACTCGAAGAATCTAACTTTACTCAACTATATAATAAATATATAATGCAAAATATAATTTATCTAATAATTTTATTATTAAATGATATTATATATAAATATTATTAATACATGTATATATATTGTTGTCATCATATATACTTATTATTACAATTAAAATATTTGTAAAGTATTTATACTGAAGAATTTTCCTTTTCTGTTTCTTTTGAATTACTCAACTTTCAACTCAATCATAATTAACTTGAGTTGGAGGATTGTTAGAAGAAGAAAAAAAGTACTTTAAACCCAATCCAACACATCCTTAAAAAAAATTACCTTTTACAAGAATACTATAAGTGTTGTGATTTAAGAGTTTAACATATAAAGGATACGCATCTTTTTACTCTTTTGCTTACGTTAAATTTTTTAAATAATTTTCTCCAGTTCCTTTTTAAGGCTCTTAGATTACGTTGTCTGAAGATTGTTTTATATATTCGAATAGTTTAGCTGTCCTAATGATTAGACGCCTACATTAGGATCACCAACGACATATAGAGGAAAATTTAAAAAAATAACGAAATATAATACACATAACGAACTATAATACAAGATTTCAACTATCAGTATACTATGCACATAACAAAATATACTATTCATGAAAACTTGCAATTATACATTTTATGCCCTAAAAGTACTTGCTGAATAAAGAGAGAAAGAGAGCAATAAATAGTAATGTAGATATTGTAAAAATAAATAAAAACAGTGCAACAAATTCGTACCAATTCAAAACCAAGATCAAACCAGAAATCGAGGTAACGGAACACGCATTTTAAAGAAGATAAGATGCACACAACAGCATGCCAACAAACTGTAATCAGGTAGCTTCCATCACAAGGAAAAGTGGAACAAATCCATGAAAAACATGGGCTAGGAGTCAAAGTCGGTCTATTTCGTATTATGCTTTGGACCATCATTTAATACAAGAAAAATGGCTACATACAGAAAATCCTCGGCTAGCTCGTAAGAGAAGCCCAAAAAATGCCTCAACTATAAAAAATATTACAAAAATATGACACAAACCCCCGAACAGAAACTCGAAATTATTTTGACTAGAACCTCCTCCAATAGAAGCAAGGAAAGAATACTGCATTAAAATCCCAGAAGAAAATGTTTGAAAATAACCAAGCTGCTACGTTGCTCCCTGTATACATTTGAGCTCATGGCCGCTTTCCTGTCAGTAGCTGCTGCCCATGGGTGGCATACCGAAAGGAGGCATTGGAGGCATCCCCAATCCACCCATTGGAGGGGGAGGGGCAAAGCCTCCCATTCCAGGCATTGGTGGTGCGGGCAAAGCAAGAGGCAACAACTGAGCATACATATTCTGCAACGAGAGAGAACATTTTATGCAATGGGTATTCATATAGTTCAATCAAATAAGAATGTTCAATAAATGATCATCAAGAAGATAGAAAATATCAACTAAAGCAGGAAACAAAATGGCGAAACTAATTACCTGTTGTGCAATTACTTCCTTCTCTTCTTGCTCTTTAGCCTTCACTTGGTTCTGAGCTTCAATCTTGTCCTTCACCAGTTCATCAACTTTGCCAGTGTACTCGCGGATAAACTACAACATTAAAAAGAAGACAGTGAAAGAAAGCACAAGATAACACGATGAAAAGGACATATAGGTTAATGTATATATTTAAGTAATAAATAAGCAGGCACAAAAGGAATACAAACCTGCAAGAGATATGGGAAGGCAAAGTCAATCATGTTGTTCATCCAGGCCAACTCGATAGCAATGTCTGCCCGGATCAAATCATAGCAAACAAATAGACACGAGGCAAAGCATTCTTTCTTTCCCTGCATAAGCATGTAGAGAGAAATCTTACACTATATTGACCTCACTCACAATAAAACTCTCCAGAAAGTGAACGTTGATAACAAAACTCCTAACATCAAACTGGCAGAATAAGTTGTGAATATAAGCTTAAAAAAAATCAGTAACAGTACTAGTTGCAAATAACTTTTAGGAACTGCATATGCCGTGGTGAGTGCTGCAGGTGTTGATATAGAGATCGAAAGCATAATAACTTGGTATCTTAGTCTTTAAATAAAACATGTTGAACGAAATGTTGCTAAAGAATGGATTATATGCCGTTGAAATTGAATTTGGTACCTGATCAATGAAATAAACAAGCAACTCCTCAGCAAGTTCACGGTCACCAGATTGTGAAGCTGTCTCCATGGCATCTTTGTAAAGGTTATCCTTTTTAGACAATGCAATGGACTGCTTCCATCTACCTGCCTTCTTGTAAATGTAAGCAGCAACATGCCTCATCTCAAGAAACTCATGCTTTTCAATCTGTATTTCAGAATAATAGATAATCTATCAGCTTCCTAATATTGAATTGAAAATGTTCAACACCGAATAAATGCAGCTAACCTTTTGTGCAAGGCCTATTTGGTCAAAGTTATCATGCAAATCAATTGACTCGCGCAATCTATCATAGTCTTCCTCCTCGACATATATTTCATTCAGGGCTTCATTAACAGCAGACACATTGTTACTCTGAACTGCAACCATGTATGGCTTGACAAGACGGAGATGACCAGCCTATAAATACAACACAGAGAAAACATTCATTAGTGAAATAGAAAAAAAGGTTATAGAGTAAACAACTGATGAAACTGTTGCCAGCATTAAAGCTACCTTTCGCATGATGTCAACAACACGTGCATGATCAACACGAAGAGCAAGGACATTCAGAACATCATTGATAAGATCAGGATGTTCTTGTAAATAGAAATGAACGGCCTTGTAATACAACTCAACATTAGCAACTTTGACGACAACATCTTTGAATTGCATATGGTCCCATGCTTCAGGTGAATGGTTCATGATGGTTGTTGCAGCATTATCAAACTCGTCATATTGAATGTACAAATAGGTCAGCTCCTTCCAATGTTGTTGTTCGTCACNCATGCAAATCAATTGACTCGCGCAATCTATCATAGTCTTCCTCCTCGACATATATTTCATTCAGGGCTTCATTAACAGCAGACACATTGTTACTCTGAACTGCAACCATGTATGGCTTGACAAGACGGAGATGACCAGCCTATAAATACAACACAGAGAAAACATTCATTAGTGAAATAGAAAAAAAGGTTATAGAGTAAACAACTGATGAAACTGTTGCCAGCATTAAAGCTACCTTTCGCATGATGTCAACAACACGTGCATGATCAACACGAAGAGCAAGGACATTCAGAACATCATTGATAAGATCAGGATGTTCTTGTAAATAGAAATGAACGGCCTTGTAATACAACTCAACATTAGCAACTTTGACGACAACATCTTTGAATTGCATATGGTCCCATGCTTCAGGTGAATGGTTCATGATGGTTGTTGCAGCATTATCAAACTCGTCATATTGAATGTACAAATAGGTCAGCTCCTTCCAATGTTGTTGTTCGTCACAAGCTCTTATAAGCTTTGGAATGTTGAGCCGGGTTGCAAATAGTTTGATATGTTCCATAAGCTTCTCAGGACGATATCTAGCATATAGAACTCCCAACTCAGTGAAGATACCCATATGTGCCCGTTCTAAACCTAAACCACTCTCCATGAGGGATATTAGTTCGTTGAAGCAACCTCTATTTTGGTAATATTCACTGACCTCTTCCAAGTCATCCACCTACCAAATTCACAATCAAAATTGACTTAACAAGCATCGCAAAGAGTATAAGCTCACAAGCAGCAGACTCAAGTAATGTTCACAAAACCTTCCAATCACCACAAGTTCACAGCATATTTATACATTTTAGTATCTATTTCCCCATTACATTTTGAAAGAACAAATTATTCAACCTTTATAATTTGGAATCAGATGACAGCTAAATAAGAAAAAATCCAGTTAATTTAAAAATTTACTTAATGAATTGCCAAACAAAAACAACAACTTACCTGAATAATAATGTTAAGCCCACATATTTGGGCCAAAAGGAACTCCTCTGCATCAATACAGGCAAAGCAAACTTCCTTCCATGTTTTTGCACTGTTAGCTTTCCTTGCTGCATCAACTGCACCTTGGAACTGTTTCAACTTCACAAGTGTAACTGCTAACTTGGCCCAGTTAGATATAAAGGCAAATATGATTTTGGCAGCTTCATATAGTTCTTCATCATACAATCGGTCACCAACATTTTGAAGATTGGCTACATTTGGCATAAGAATGAACTCCTCAATGTCACTGAGCCTATCAATCTTTGCATATGCATAAATGAGCTCACTGTCCACCTTGGGCTCTTTAGTCTTCTGCCGAACCATCAGCAAGTATCTCACCAGGTCATGGTAAACATTGGCATCTTCAGCAGCACGGATAACATCCAAAAATTGTGTAGTATCGTCTGCTCGTATAAAGGACTCAATGGCATCACTTACTAGTCCTTCCCTTAGTTGAGCTTTGGCCACCTGACTCCAAACAGCATCTTCTTCAACTCGGAAAGCAAACTCCACAGCTCTATCAATGCTATGAATATTGTCTAACAAGACATTGACTGCCTGGACATTTAAGTTGAACTTCTTGAAAATTGCAAATGCTTCCTCATATAATTGAGCCTCAACAGCCATATCTCCCACTGCAGGCCCATCAAAATTATCCAGTCTATTAATATAATCCATAACTCTGGATGGATCAGCCTTTATTGCTGTTAAAATAAGTAGATTCTGCAGATTAAAATTGCCACTGAATGCAGAATTCTGAAGGACAATCTTCTCAAGAAGCTCGATCAATTCATGAGGTAGATCAGCTGTCATGAAAGCCTTAACAGCAGCAGATACTTGTTCAGGGCTCTTGCTTTCAGGCAGAGCTGTAGATACAACCTGATCAATAAGTTGCCTTCTGTAGGCATTATCAGGGTTAAGAACTTTGTCCCAAAGATCAGCATCCATCCGCTCAACAACATATCTGTAATCCAAACAAAAGCAGGTAACCATTGGATCCAACGTAATTGTTTAGAGCAAAAAATACATAAGTATAACCCACAAACCTTGCTTGTAGTTTAAACAAAGAATTTTTGTTTGTCACATTGATAAGTTCATCATCACATTGTCCACGCCTATAAGCTACAACTGCTAAGGTGGGATCACGTTTCTCACAATATTTGCCCACAACTCGAGAATCATAGTATGGGTTGGTAGTGAGAAAATGTTCCGGATTATTGTTGCTATCAATGATGATTTTACCCAGTGCATTGTGAACATGTACATCCTGGCTTCCCTCGCTTACAAGATGTTCCAAAAACTGTGTGAGCAAACGAAGCCGATTCCTGCATGACAAATTAACACCAGAGAAAAATTAGAAAGGTGAGCTCAAAAAGTGTAAGATTAGAGAACCGATACTACCTCTTCTCACACTCCTCCACAAGGGGCTCCACCGGCAGTAAGGAACGAACAGAGAGAATCAAGCCTTTGATAAAATCTTCTGGACACTCGTCATCTAAAAGCTGCCCAACGACTAAAGGAGCATTCCCTGGGTTCACCTATAAAGCAAAGCAAAGAAAGACAGACAGTTAACACTGGAAAAGAGAAAGTAGGTAGTATTCAAGAAATAAAAAGGCTACTGAATTATAAATGCAAACTATAATACCTTCTGAACATAACCTTCAATGTAGCGAAGCATGTTGCTTGTGTATAGATAGTGTGTTAGATCTGGAACAAATCCAAATCGGTCACAAACATTAATCAGAGGTCGTGCATCGGGAAGCTTAGCCTCCATTAGAAAGTTCTTTGTTTTCTCAGCATCATAGAAACTTGATTCTCTAGTCACACGCTCAACCTCTTTGATTTGTCCAGTCTTTGCTGCTGCCTCAATGTACTTAAAGTGAATGTCAGGATCCTCACTGTCCATATTCAGGGGGACAGGGGAGAAATTAGCTGATATGAGACAATATCCCCTTTACAGAAGGCATCCCTTGTCCACCAGACAAAACAGTTCTATAAAAGTGTAAGAATTACCTGGAGCTCAAATATGATCCCAGGAAAAAATACAACCCTTCATATGACCTGAATTGCTCAAAAATCTTTATGCAGGCATCAATGCCCAACTGTTCACAATATTCTTTGGCAACCTAGACAGATATAAATAAGCTTTTAGTTATCAATAAAATATTAATAATTTCATATTATAGAAGAAAATTATAGTTTCATACCTGCACAATAATCTGTAGGTTGCCTCTAAGATTGACTAGCAATAAGTCTTTCATGCACTCTAATGCCCATTCTCGTGATAGAGTGCCAAAAAATTCAACAAGTGACTACAAGAACCGAAAAACCACTTAGTATTATTCAAATTAGCACAATGTTTCAATAGATAAACTATAGAAGCAATGGAGCACACAAACCTGTGGTTCAATTGCATGTGTATTTACAATCACACGTTTTATATCTGACAACTCTGTGTAATGCTGCATCAAAAATAATGTAATCAATAGAAAGAGGAGGCTTGTGGGTTAAATAAGAAAAAAAGTAAGAAGAAAACACATTTGGTGAGTCATTACTTGCAAAGCTCGTACATAAAGAGCAGCTTTTTCACAAAGTTGGGCAATACGAGGACGGTCATAATGACTGAACATGCCATTAGCCAAAATTGCATCTGCAACATTAGGGAAAGTAACCAGATTTATCTCCAACACCTTAGTTTGAAGGAACCCATGTTCTGGTAGATTTGGTTTCAGAACATCTAGGAGAAAGGCAGTTGCCTCACGGATCAGATTTCTCTGAACAGGACAAAAAGAAGGTAATACATGAACTGTCAATCAATAATAAATAATTACAGTAAAAACAATGAGGAAAGGACTAGGCGAGTGCTTGTACATAGAAATCAACATAATGCCACATAAAGAAACATTTCATAAATCAATGATCGTGAAGCATGAATATTATATTACTAATCACCATAATAATGACTTAATCATAGTAGATAAACAACCTGAAGAAATAAATCAGTTATGGTGTTATAATCAACTGGGCAACCTCCCTCCATTTGCGACATCATTAATGCAAAATTAACAGCACCCTACAAAACCAAAATGGAAAAAGAAAGAGTTGTTGAATTAGTTAGTACAACGACCAATTTTAGTAAATTGAGAATGAAAAAATAAAATAAAGTTCTATAAATTCTATTCAGAAAATATATAATTTGATAATCAGTATCTAACAGAGTGGCAGACAATGGAAGAAATACAAAGAAATAGCTCAACATAAATAGTGAAAATGAACTACATAGGGTACACTTATACCTGAGGATCTGATCGGAGAATTGTTTGCAAAAGGAAGAGATAGTCAGGTGTGTAGCCAACCTGTAGCCCAAAAGTAATAAAAATTATCAGCCACAAATAGCTCCATTAAAAGCAGAGATAAGATATGAAATGATGTTAATATAACGGTCAATTAAAATACTCTAGGCTAGAATAATATCAAAGAAATTAACAAAAGGAGCACCAAATAATCTGATGAACAAAAATCAGTATAATTTGATAAATAAACAAGCCTCTACCTGCTTAGAGTATATTAGAATCTTGTCAAATTCCCTTCTCTCAGCAAAAGCAGCAACAACTTTTGGAGTAGCTCTGGCTTTGATGTATATTTTTAAAGCAAGATCATTATCCACAGTCTACACGGTAGAACACATTAAACGAAATTAACAAAAAAATCTCATTTCATATTAAATAAACTATTAGGTAAACAAAAAGCAAAAAAAAAAAAGAAAAAAGACAATCAATTAAAAGTATTTCAAAATTTCAAATGCAACCTACCTTTACAAGATCTCCTAGTTCCTCACTGCATTCAAGCTTGTCCTCTGCCAACCAATTCTCCAAAAGGTTTTTCTTGTTCTGGTTTACTACCAGCCTTGACAATTCTAATGACTCAAAGGCATTCAGCTTTCCTCTTGTCAAAAGTGTTCCAAAATACTGCAATAGTGGAGGAGTTTGCCCTGCTTGCACAGGAACACTCTGCCAAATAGAACAACTTGTGACACTTCACCCATGATAGTCTAATTGACCATGAAAAAGGACAAACAGTTCAAATTTCTTTAATCCTTTATCCATAAAAACAAGCAAAGATGAATGCGTAGGTTCAATTTGTTGAGGAAAGAGCACAAACAAAATATTTGATGGCTATGGGTGTGTTTATGCTTCTGTTGTAACCAAATTCAATGGGATTTTCCCACTTTCGAAAACAAAAATACATGAGAATGCCTGTAATGTTTGATTGGTATTCAGTTTGTTGAACAGAAAGACAAACAAGCACTGTAACTTATCACCACACCTGAAATTTTGCAACTGTATCAGGAGTGCGAAGGATTCCTTGTGGAGATTCAGCTGCAAGCTCAGCTGCTTCTTTATACTTTGTTTGGGCAAACAGTTCATGGAATCGTTCAACCACCTATAATGTCAACAAGTTAAGGACTAAAATTCACACACAAAAAAGGTAATGAAAAACAAACTAGTTTAAATGAAGCTAAGACACTCTCTAATCAAACAATACCAAAAAATTATCAAAATATTTGGAAAATAAATACATTATCAAAAACATTAGAGTGCAGATTTCATTAATAGAGAAAAAAAAAAGTAAAAGACTAAAGAAAAAACGTTTGTCGCCATACAGAATTCAGGTCACTCACATAAACTCCTTTGGTCCATGCATCTATCTTTTAGATGCATAAAAAATTTCTACATAAAAAATTGATGGTGTTAAAGAGATACAGAAAATATCAGCAACAGAAGGATGATTCTGTTAAACAGATATGTACTAACTAGAATAGAATAAGTAAATGCTGAAGAGAAATATTAGTAAAAATTCATTAAAGAAGAACACTAACAAATGCCTCACGGAACTGGATAAGGAATCCAAAGTGGATTTTTTTTCATGGGAAATTGTTATCAATGCACTCCATCATGATATGATTCATTTCCAATGCAATCACACTGTATTTCCGTTGAAAACTTTTTATTTACTAATTCATTTATCAATACCTTTAGGACACTCGTTGCCATAAGAGCCTTAAAACATTGTGCATTGTACAAAAGAACGACCATACCAAATATTACACAAGTTGGCATTTACCAATTAAATAAAATCCAATCTAAGATAACACGTGAGATTCAGTAGAACCATCCTAAGTCCTGAAAGCACCCTAATGAAAAAATAGCAAGTTCGATATGAAAACTCACATACCAATTTCTCAGCACCAGGAAGATTTCCTCGCTTGGCAAGATTAACCGCTAGCTCCAAATTGTTTAGCTGTGACAATAAAAAATGAAATTTGTGGAAATGTCACCTTGTTTCCCCCTTTACAATAGGAAAGTGATAACATGATCAGATACATACTTGACCACTGACAAAATTCACAATCGTTTGCTCATTAACAGTAGCCAATAACACCTGGCCTCTCCTGTTAATAGCATAAAAGCCTCCAACTGATGTAGCTTCTGATGTCAAAAATATAGGATCAGGACTAATTCTGTTCCTATATACAGCAGTAGCAGTCTCCAAATCATAGACAAATAGGAGACCAAGTTTCGTAATCACATAAATCAAACTGTATTTGTGGGATATCTGCCAAAAGAGAAAATTATGAATCAAATACCAGCACAGTTTTACAAAATGAACAATTCTAGCAACCTTTGTACCTGCATGGCAACTGGAAAATCATCAGCAAAATCTGGGGGAAAGAAAAGGTCAGCTTGTTTCTTTGTAAACGATGGCTTCCCTGCAAAGACAATCGGTGAGGTAAATTCCGGAATGATGATAAACCAAATCAAAGATTATAAAACTATACAAATGATTTACAGCTATAATACAAAATATCTATCCATGCTTAAATACCCTCATTTCAGTATGCTGCTCACTTTATTTGTGAAGATAATCACAGCAGCAACTTCACTGACTTATCATTAAATAGAAAATCCAAGAGAAGACTGTCACCATCACATTATTCAAAATTTCCAATCATTCATTCAAATTTAGTAATCCCAGGAGCATGACCAATTCTCCAACAGAAAGCAGTATATTTCTTTATTATTAACTGAATCTATTGCCAATAATGAGTAACCTCCTCCATACTGATAGTGCAAAACATGATCACTTCAATTTATCCATCCACAACTTGAAGTTCAAGAAATCATTATTCTGAGTAGAAGAATTTTGAATAACAAGACAAAGGCACCTCTCTGGGCATATCTTTAAGAAAGGTCATTCTTCTCCAAACTTCGGTTCAATAAAGTTTATGACCAGTTTAAATATAGATTTATGATTTAACAGGAAAAGTAACCTTGGAAATTCGATATGGGACAAGGGCAACTAAATTGTAAAGTTAAGTCAGATTTGTCTAATAACAATATTGTCCATTAGATTAATTAATGCTGAAGAGACAGATATGCTAAAGAAAATATATACAGACCTGGCTGAGCACCCAGCTCAATAACATGCAACTTGGATATAATTTGACCAGCATTAAGTGTCTTAGTGGCAAAAGAAATCAAAACAGAAGGATTTTCATTCCCAGGAACCTGTCCAAAAAGCACTTCAGTTTTTCTAGCACATTGTATGACAGTAACATGCTACAGAAATATTTATTTGTAAATATGAAATTAACGAAGGAAAGTAAACAAAGAATCATAAAGAGACACACTTTAAATTGAGCAAATGATGCAGCATGCGCTTCAAGAGCCTGGCTTCGTTGTTGATCCACAGAGAAGAGCTGCATGTTTCCTTTAACCAATTGTTGCCTCTATAGACAACACAACATACAAAAAGAAAAAAAAACAAGATCAGACTCAAACAAATTCTAGTAAAAAGGAAAATGATTATTTCCAAGGATAATCTATCCCAATGGCATAGGCTATATAAATTGTTTTAAATTCAACTCCTCCTCAAAGTGGAATCCTTTGAGCTTGGAGTGTTGACACTACATAAGTCCATTTTTTTCCTTAGAAAGCTTGAAACTCTATGAGAAACAAGGTTTAACGTTAAACCCAGACCACGTAATCAAGGAGGATTAATACCATGCCCAGAACAAAGCGTCCAATATATAGCTTTCAGTTTTTTAATTTAAATGTCATACAATGGTAGCAAAATTTTACACAGATAAATCCAATGGAAACATAAAATTAAAAAATAAAGACATGAATATGAGAAAAAAGAAAAAGTCTAAATAACTAAAACAAGAAACATTATAACCTAGTTACTATCTCCTAGGGAAAAGAAGAAAATATGCCTTTATATTTTTTTTAAATAAATGAAAAAAAAGGATAATGGTAGTCAATAATAAATAGTGAGTGAATTGGGGTGTGGTGTGTTATTGGAAGAGACATTTGGAGAGTGTTAGTAGTACTTATAAATGTAAAATAGGACATACAAAATGTGTATACCAAAAAAATGTATCCCTTTTGTATAAAGTTATAGATGATAGACACTAGAGATATACCTCAGGGGAACCTGGAGCAATACCAATCAAGACCAACCATTTTTCTGAAGGATCACATCGATAATTAATTATTTGATTGTTTGCTAAATTCGCTGTTCTCTCAAACATCTTGACAGGTTCTGAGTCACCTACAATTTACATATATCACACAGAAATATCCTAGTAAAACATTTGAAGATGAGCAAATTTACGCTGAACAGCAATGGATAAACTGAAAAACATAATAGCACAAAACCAAGTTGTCAAGTGGAATTGCAGTTTATCAATTTCTTACCTTCAATTGACCAATGGTATACAGAGGTTTGTGTCACAAGACCCAACAACTTGGGGGTAATCCATTTCCAAAAGACCACCTGCACATGCAATGGGAGCATTCCACAAGGTTTAACAAAGCTCTCGTTATCAACCATCATTTAATAGTGGTTGTATACTTGTACGTAATAGTTACCTGCTCGGGCATCTGATACGATTTCATCTTCGCTTTCATTTCAATATTAAAAATTTGTAGGTGATCTTGAGTTGTTCCTTGGAGTTGAGCTTCAAGAGAAGGATGCAACTTATAAGCAAATATAATCCAAAAGTAAATACTAATTAAAATGCAATGCAAACAGAAGCTTGTGATGTAATCAAATAAAACCTACAATTTTATCCCAATAATTGGAACGCTATGAACAGTGAGCCCTTTTTACACTGGCTATTTTCCTTTGTTCTAGGGGCATTTTTTTCTTAATATGCAACCACTTTCATGCTTCTCAAATGATGGTATCGTGAATAATATATATAATCACAATGTTTAATTGGTCATAGATGAATGGTGAATGGTAAATACATTATCTGAACAATAAATCACGAAAGAGAACCACTTAACAGGTCTATGGCATTACAACCAATGAGATCAGTCCATCTTTAATAAACCTCGTAGGGATAAATTCAAAGCCTATTGGTGACTTCCCCTAATAATCATATTAGCTTAGCATGTGAGAAATGAAAGAAAAGTATGACAGTTTTCTTCGATAAAATTATATCACTTAAGAACATGATCTTTTAATTTATCATATTGGTAAATTGTTAAATAAGAATCAAGCAAAGGCACCTGTTTTACAATAATGTACCCCTAATGATCAGGATGCTTAAGGACACACGCACTCGGTACTCTAGTTAGTAGAACTAATGCTTGAGAAGCAAGTAAGGATCATAAAACCAAAATTAGCTCAGATCGTCTTGTTCAACTAAGTCCTGATACCATGCACGAAGTGCATGTGTTATTCCACTCCTAAACAAGTTCAGACCAAGCTATTTTCATACGATGATGATAACTTCATACGATGATGATAACGATTGCCTCAGTGGCAAAAAGATAAGGAAAGTAAGCTTCATCTCTCCCAAAAAATAAATATATAAAGAATAAAAATTCCCAATTTATACAATACCATAAAAAATCCAACTCAATACCGAAATGGCTTTAGTTAGATTATCCACAACAGTACTAGCCACAAACACAAGTCACAAATTCATGACAAGAATAAAACGAACTAGTATCCAACCTTTCAAGGCAAGGATTCTGGAATTGGGATTCATAAGAGCGGAATCTGCAGTAATAGGCCTCCTCAAAGGCTGATTCGGCATGTTCATATCAACGATAACCACGCTATTCTGCGGAGCCGTTTCTCGAACGCATATATACTTATCGGACTCCATTGTCACATGCGTGAACGTGATGAACTGCGGATTTATGCCAATGCTCGGCAACTGCAATCACAAATCACGCGACACGAGTTACATCACTTTCAATTCACAACACAATCTCACTCAACAGTTCAGAAAAAAGAAAATCAAGAAACATCTAGATCTATGCTAACTCAAAAATAAGAAAACAAAGTAGCGCAGTGAACTTCGTTACAACACGATCGAATTTGTTGCGGAACACTCCATTCGGAAAATAAAAGTTTAGCAGAGCGTAAGAGTGACTTGCAAAACTTTGATTGTTACTATCGGTTATAAAGATAGCAGGTGAAGTGGAGTTGCGAATTAAGCTCAAGAAATCTAGAGTAAACGAAGAGCGCAGAGAACTCACAGTGAGAGCTTCTTTCATGGCGATCGGAGCGTTAGCGGCCGCCATGACGGCTTGGATGGAAGAGTGAGATCTGCGGCGGCGATTGAATTGGAAGAGGAAGAAGAGTCAAAAGAGTGATACAAATCGGTGCGAGATCTGGAAGTAAGTTGGACCTCTAAAGAGAAAAGAGGGAGAGATCTACGGAGGAAGAAAAAAAAAAAGGAGGTTCTGACACTAATAAAGCGGGCTTGGTGAGAATCGGAACGAGAAGAGAATTGAATTCCTTAGAAAAAAATAAACGACACGGAAACATTAAAGAATTCTCTCGTCTTATGAGCTAATAAAGCAAATTTACTAAAATAAATCTCAAAATTAAAATCCTACTTAAGTTTAGATTTACAGCCTAGCAATCGGGGATCTGAGTAATTTGATAATGATTTTGTTTACAACTGCCTCAAAATAAGGATTAAGAAATTAATATCTTAGCAAAAAGGAAAACTAATAAATAAATCATTAAAAATATAATATTTACTGAAAAAGTTATATCAACATAACATATTAATTTTTAAATGAAAACTTCAGATTATTTTTTCATTATTCCTTTTAGGTTTAAATATTCCGTTGGTCTTCATTTTTGTATGATAATGTCTTTATTTTTACAACTGTTTCAATTTGATTATATTTTTTGTAAAAATAAATTAATTTTACCCTAACCGTTAAATGTTCTCAGACTGCGTTAAATCTAGCTCACGTGTTTATGCTGACATATATTATTTGATTACGTACAAATTTTATTTAAATTAAAAAATTATGATATGGCAAAATTGAAGGTGTCAAAGAAGCTTCCAAAACCCTTCACATGAGCACCAATCCTTTCACCTTCCTCTTCCCAACATATTCCAGCACTGCCATTGACACACTCCTCGACCTCGAAGCCAAGTCTCACGTCGTCTTCTCCTCCGACCCTAACCTCCGCAACCTCTCTTGCATCCTCTCCTCCCTCTCATCCCTAATCGATAAACTCCACAAACATACTTCCCACGATCCCTCCTCCAACACTTACCAAAAATATTGTTGTTAAAGTGACCTGGTATTATATCCCAAAAATTTTTCTCTTGTTGTTGGTGGTGTTGGACCCTCTCCTTTCACCCAGGCTTTTCAGACAACTTTTTTGGGAGAAAAATGCAGGGACGAATGATGAATGAATGGAGGAAGATGATGCTCTTCTGGGACAACAGTTGAATTTCTTAATGAATGAATGAATTTACCTGTTCCTTTTGAGTTTCAGAACCATGCATATAGGTCTGTATGCATATGAATGATCCAAAGCTTCTGTATTTCGTTCTCGCAAAATGTTTCTTTTTCCCATAATAATTTTTTATGTGGGTTCCTGTGGCGCCCTTCTCTGTTTCTGATTTCTTGGTGGATCGAATTGGTTCTCCAGTATATGAAACCCAAACCAATTAGAATTAATGATAAATTCAATTCGGGAAACTTTAATGTTTATGATAAAATTGGAAATTAAAATCCCAATTATGTTTAAGGAATTTAATCCTCCAGAAAATCTCTTTTAAGAACCCTAATTAAAATCTGAAATCTAAATTGGGAAAATTCCCAATTTGAAACCCTAATGCTCCTAAACCTTAAGGAAAATCCAATTTTTTGGTTTCCTTCTTCTCTAGTGTTGTGGAGAAACCACCTCTAGAGGCTTCTTCTTCTTCCTGGTCCAGGTCATGAAGGCGCACGCAGTGGCAATTCGCACATCAGGTCTCGCCATTTTTGGTTTTTGCGTTTGTTTCTACTCTTCTTCTCCTTCGGTGCACTGCTCAACCATGACAAATTTCAATCTCTCACGAATGGCGGCATAGCGGCAGCGATCGTTCGTGCGGCATAGGGACAGTGATCATTCGATGCGGCATAGTGGCAACGATTCGATGCGGCGCAGCGACAGAGGCGCGACCCATGGGGTTTCGTGTTCGCACAACAGTGGCGACCCGCAGTGGTGAGGATGAAGGCGCGACGAGGAGGACTCTGTTCAATGGTTTTTATCTTTTTAATTACCCAATCAATGGTATGCCTGCTAATGACTTGCGCCGGCGAAGCTCCGCCAACGAGGTCCATGGGAGAGTGAGCCGAGTGAAGTGGGTGATGGAGGGAGTCTGACCAGATTTGGATGAATATGTTGCTAATGCCGTCTGAGAGTACTTAACGGTTAGGGTAAAACTAGTTCATTTTTATAAAAAATATGATCCAATTGAGATAGTTACAAAAATGAAGACCCAACTGAGATTTCCATAAAAAAATAGATCAACCGAAGGTTTAAATCTTTTTTACCACGCCGTTACCAAAACTGACATTATAGCTTAGGATCCAACTAATTCTTCTTTTGTATTATTTTTTTATCATTTATTTTACTTCGAGGAATAGCTCCATTGAACACAACATATTGATATGATGACTGTACGAGTTTAATGTTTGTAATTGATCATTTATTGATGCTTGACTTGTCGTAAATAATTTGACATGATTAACGTAATATGGGTTTTTTTATTAGAGAGCTCATACGTAGTAAATATATACAAATCAAAGGAGTAAAAAATAAAAAAGAAACCGACAAAAGCCATGGTCAGAGACACACTACTAACTCATTGGTGATGATGGGTATTTTACACCAACACTATTTTTCCTTTTTTAAAATAAACGACGGAGATAAAAATAAACTAATCTAATTAAATCAAGAAGAATAATATACTAAATTTATGTGATAGAACAACAGCAAACTTCTTATTACTAAAACTAGCAAAAACGCAGCGCTATGGCTTGGTATTTTTGAAATATTAATTATAAATAAAGTGTAATATTTATTTGTATATATCTATATATATTTTTGAAAAAATAAATATATTAATTATTTTAAAAAGTATATTATACTTTTCAATGAGTTTCTTTAATTTTGTATAAAATACATCACACATAATTTTTTCAATTTTAAAAAACTGAAAAAAAAGATAATATAAATATATGACATGGTAATGATATATAATATAGTATAAGAGATTGAATATTAATCATAATTTCAAACATGTAAAATATTTACTCTTTAAACTATTTTATTTTATTATTACGGTGATAAATATCACTTACTATATTAAAATAATGTTATATTCTTATATTTTTATAATATTTTATATTTTTTTAATATCTATTTTATTGAATTATATAGTGATTTTATTATATTACGACAAATTATATTTAAATATTTTATTAATAAATTTTTATTATGATTTTGTTATGCTATTTTAAGAGATAATGGGTTTTAAAACTTTTTCATTTTGTTTATGTCTTTTAGTAATCTTTTGAAGTTTACTCGTTTAGTTTTTAATATCATAATGAATTTTCAAAATATGGTGAAAACGCATAGTGTAAGGGTCTGTAAATGAATAAGGGGCCACTGGGCCTTACGTGGGACAGTCAAGTCCATCAGCCTAAGGCCAGCTTAACCTCAGAAAGGGCTCCTCTGAGTTCTTTTTCACTTTCCTGAGCTCTTTCCCTTTCTCTCTCTAAACAGAAACCCTTTTTCCTAAACAATTGCTCTGCCTTCTCTCTAAAAGATTCAAACACTGAACCGTTTAAATTTTAATTTGAAGGTGCCTAATCGCGGTGGCAAGAGCTTCATTTTGGACCGAACAATTTCTTGTTCCTACCGGTAAGTTCCCTTTTCCCCTTCTCTTTCACTGTTTTAGAACCTAGGGCATGCACTTTGCTGGGTTCACGTGCCTTGTACATTTTTCCTTCCATTCTCTGTCTATTCGAGCTCTAAGAGCTATGTTCTATCACCAATTTGGTGATCTGTAGGTTTTGTCAAGTTCCGCTCTGTGTGGAGGGGACTGTTAGGGCATCTATTGTGAGTTGTATTGAGCAACCCAAAAGAAGAAGGTAAGGGAGCTAATTATTTTTGTATGAATTTATTTTATAAAAATATATGTATATGAATGTTGAACTGGTGTGCTCTTGTGAAACTGTTTTATGACTTTTATTGTATTGGGTGTTATAATTGAAACTGTGAAATTGTGCATGTTGTGATGTGATGAATTTAATCTGTTTTGAATGAGTTTGTTGGCTGAAATTGATATTGCTGGAAGGTCTGGAGTAAGGGTTGCATAATAGCATGTATATGGGTATTAAATAGATGTAGAGGTACTGTTTGAGGTTGCTTTGAGAGGAAGTGAAAATATTAAAATTAGGCATTTCAGATTTAGAGCATAAGAGAACATAGTAGATAATTTAAATAAATTAATTGTTAATTATTCAGAGCCTTTATTTGTTGGTAGGATAGAGGAACCTTAAAAACCTGAGTTGGCACATCCCTGATCATAGAGCAGCCCTGGCCTGGTCCAGTCAGTTGTGACTAGTCATATGTACTGGTGTCGAAGGTGAGTCTGATGCGTTCAGACATTCGGGTCCTCTCCGATGACCAATTGGGATAAAGAAAGATCTCTACTAGGATGAAAATAAAATAAAACAAGTTGATTGTAGATGCATAAAGTTATCATGTGTTAATTTCTAGTCAATTATAATTTTAGGAAATTAGTCACTGTGTGTTTAGAATTTAAAGTAAAGATGATGTATATATAAATATATATATATATATATATATCTCAGTTGCTGCAAACTGTCAGGACTAATGCTTTTAAAGCTCTGAATTTGTGTTAGTTGCTATTGCTAATGGTGTGGCAGCTTTCATGTGCATAAACGCTCTTGTAGGAGTCCAATAACTAGTTTTTGTTGTATTATACCTTGAAAATCTACACCATTGTAGTAGATAGAAAGGTTTTAAAAAATGTCT